CTGGCGCGGCCAGGTACTTCTTCAGGTAGTCCAGCTTGGAGGTCATCGGCGCAAGGCGGGCGGGGTGGGGCTGGCCTAAAGGAGGACCTCCTCCGCCTCCTCCTCCTCCATCACCTCCTCCTCATCATCCTCCTCCTCCTGTCCTCATCATCATCATCATCATCCTCATCCTCATCCTCATCCTCATCCTCATCCTCCTCCTCCTCCTCATCATCATCATCATCATCAGCATCATCACCAGTTGCATCATCATCATCATCATCATCATCATCATCATCATCATCATCATCACCATCACCATCACCATCACCATCACCATCATCATCATCATCATCATCATCATCATCATCATCATCATCATCATCATCATCATCATTATCATCATCATCACAAGCTGCCTCATCATCATCATCATCATCATCATCATCATCATCATCATCATCAGCTTTATCATCATCATCATCATCATCATCATCATCATCACCATCATCACCACCACCAACAACAACACCATCATCATCACCACCACCAGCTGCATCATCATCAGCAGCATCATCAGCATAATCATCACATTGCTCATCATCATCATCATCATCATCACCACCATCATCATCATCATCATCATCATCATCATCATCATCATCATCATCATTATCATCATCATCACCGTCATCGTCATCGTCAGCATCATCATCACCATCATCATCATCAGAATCATCATCATAATCAGTATCATCATCATCATCATCATCATCAGCATCATCATCATCCCTCCCTGCCTCCACCCGCATCCCTCCTCCCACCTCCCTCCTCCCTCCTCCTTCCGCCATCCCTCCCTCCTCCCTCCTCTCACCTTCCTCCTACCTCATCCTCATCCTCCTTCCCCTACTCCTGATCATCATCAGCAGCATCATCCAGCAGCATCCTCAACATCATGATCATCATCATCACCATCATCATCATCATCATCATCATCATCATCATCGTCATCATCGTCATCATCATCGACATCATCAACAGCATCCCTATTATTAGCATTATCATCATCAGGATCAGCATCATCATCATCGTTGACATCGTCATCGTTGTCGTCATTAGCATCATCATAAGAAGCAGCATCATCAGTAGCATCAGCATCCTCATCAGCAGCGTCATCATCGTCGTAATCGTCATCGTCGGTATCATGATGATTACAATAATCATTGCCATCATCACCATAATCATCATCAGCAGCAGCATCAACATCATCATCAGCAACAGCATCAAAATCAGCAGCAGCAGCCTCATCACCATCATCAGCACCATCATCACTATCCAGCACCATTGTCATCATCACCCGCTACATCAGCATCATCAGCAGCAGCATCGGCATCACCATCATCATCAGTATCAGTATCATCCTCATCATCATCAGCATCAGCATCAGCATCAGCATCATCATCATCATCATCATCATCATCATCATCATCATCATCATCATCATCATCATCTTCGTTACCATCATCATAATCATACTCATCAGCATCATCAGAATCAGCAGAATCATCAGTAGCAGCATCGTCGTACTCGCCTCCCCAGCAACCATTACCAACATCATCAGTATCATCATCATTTGCATCATCATCATCATCAGCAGCAGCATCCTCGTCATCATCGTCGTCATCCTCATCAGCATCAGCTCACGCAGCATCAGCATGATCATCATCATCATCATCATCATCATCATCATCATCATCGCCATCATCAGCATCACCATCGTCATCGTCAACAGCAGCATCATACTCGTCATCAGTATCATCATCATCATCTTCGTCATCAGCATCATCATCATCGTCATCAGCACCATCTTCGTCATCATCATCATCGTCGTCGACATCCTCATGAGAATCGTCATCGTCATGACCATCCTCATCAGCATCGCAACCATCATCATCACCACCATCAACATCATCACCAGCAGTGGCAAAAACAGCAACAGCATCATGACCGTCGTCGTGACATCACCGTCATCATCATCAACAGCAACGTCGTCAGCATCATCATCATCATCAAAATCAGCATAAGCATCGGCGTCCTCATCAACATTATCCTCAGCATATCTCACCATGAGCCTCATGCTCAGCCTCAGCCTCAGCCCCATCCTGCTGTTCCTCCTCCGCCTCGTCCGCCTCGTCCACCTCATGTACCACATCCTCACCCTCCACCTTCTTGTCCTCCTCCTCCACCTCCTCACCATCATGATCAACAGCCTCATCACCATCATTAAGCATCATAAACAACAACATAATTTATCAGCAGCAGTACCATCATCAGAATCATTAGCAGCATCAGCATGATCATCATTATCATCGCCATCACCTGTTCGTTATTCGCATCACCATCATCCAAATTCGCATACGCCACATCATCATCATCGTCATCGTCATCGTCGTCGGCGGCGTCACCATCATCACCATAATCATCATCAGCAGCAGCATCACCGTCAGCAACATCATCTGCAGCATCATCATCAGCATCGTCATCACCATCATCATCATGAGCATCGTCAGAAGCAGCAGCCGCATCAGCATCATAATCGTCATCATCGCCAGAGCAGCAGCAGCATTACCCCCCCCCCCCATCATCATCATCATCAACATCATCATCATCATCAACAAACATCAGCAGCAGCATCATCGTCGTCAGCCGCATCAGCATCGGCATCGCCATCATCATCCTCATCATCAGCATCATTATCCGCATTGTCTTTGTCATCATCAGCATCGTCATCAGCATGATCATCAACATTATGGCCGTCATCATCATCATCAATAGCATCAGCATCATCGTCAAGCCTCAGCCTTGACCTCAGCCTTACCCTTCGGTTTCATCCGCATCCACATCGGTCTCATCCTCCGTCTCTTTCGCCTGCTCCGCCTCCTCGTCGTCCTTCTCGCGCCACTCCACGTCGTCATCACCATCATCATCAGACAGCGGGATCATCATCATCAGCAGCATCAGCAGCAGCATCATCATCGACAGTAGCATCACCATCATCATCATCATCATCAGCATCATCATCACCATCATCATCATCATCATCAGCATAATCATCATAATCATCATCATCATCATCAACATCATCATCATCATCATCATCATCATCATCATCATCATCATCATCATCATCGTCATCGTCATCATCATCATCATAATCGTCGTCAGCATTATCATCATCACCACCACCATAATCATCATCATAGTCATCATCACCTCCATCGTCACCAGCATCATCAGCATCATCATTATCAAGAGCATCAGCAGCAGCGTCACCAGCAGCACCGTCATCAGCAGCGCAATCAACACCAACATCACTATCGAAATCATCATCTGAATCATCATCAACTTAATCATCATAATCAGCATCGGCATCCTCATCGGCATCATCATCAGCCTTGCCAGTATAACTAGCATGAGCAGCACCATCAGCAGCAGCATCGTTATCATCAGCAGCACCAGCATCACCGACAGCATGATCAGCAGCAGAATCACCATCACCATCATCATGATGATCATCAACATCATCATGATCATTAGCCGCAGCAGCATCATCACCGTCATCATCATCATCAGCATCATCAGCATCATCATCATCGTCATAATCATCATCATCATCATCGTCATCATCATCATCATCATGATCATCGCCATCATCATCACCGTCATCATCACCAGCATCATCATCTTCACCGTCATCATCAGCAGCATGATCACCAGCAGCAGCAGCATCATCATCAACAGCAGCATCATCATCACCAGTTTTACCATCATCATCAGCAGCATCGCCAGCATCGTCATCAGCATGATTAGCATCATCATCATCGTCATCATCATCAGTAGCGTCATCAGCAGCAGCGGCAGCATCAGCATCATCATCATCAGCAGCATCATCGTGATAATCATTGTTATCAGCATTATTATAATCATGAGAATCAGTATCCTCCTCTTCTTCTTTATCCTCCTCCGCCTCATTTCCCCCCTACTTCTCCGTTTCCTCCTGATCATCATCATCCCCCTCATCATCCTCAGCCCCCTCTTCCGTCCCTTCCCCCTCTTCCACTTCCCTGGAGCGCGCAAGAAGGAGAAGGAGAAGGAGGAGGAGGAGGAGGAGGACCAGTGCAAAACCGAGACTGATCAACGATAATGCAATGAACCCTCCATCCAAATTTACTCTTCATAGGTCCCTACAGTGACATATGTCCACTACAGGAAAGGACCCCTTGAAACACAACCGTTTGAAAATCCGGAATCGTGCCAAAACACCATTCCTCGGACTTCAACGCCGCGAATCAACGTTACGGTTGCGCCCTGAGGACCCTGAATCGCGCCAGAAGCCGAATCTGCGCGGCGCTAAAGCGAGAACCACATTTTGAAAACGGCCCGCCCTGCGTCCGTGAAACGCTTGCAAAATCTAAGCTTCAGGACCATAAATGGCGAGGAAACCTCAGGCGAAACGCCCGGCCCGCCCGCCCTACCGACACGTCTGGGGGTGCGACAGGGAAGAGTTATCCATAAGGAAAAGGAATGGAGGAGGAGCAGGAGGAGGAGGAGAAGAGGGAGGAGGAGGAGGCGGAGCAGGGAGGATGAGAGAGAAGGGAGAAGGTAGCAGAAGGTGTGGGGCAAGGAGTAAGAAGAAGGGAGGAGGGAGGAAGAATAGCGGATGAAGGCGGAGTAGAGAATGGGAAAAAACGCCCTCGAAGACCTCTGGTGCCCCCCTAACACCCCTCTGGAACTGCGTCGGGTCCCCCAGACACCCTTTCTCCGTCTGCCTTTCTTCCTCCCCTCCTCGTCCTCCTCCTCCTCATCTTTCTCCTCCTCCTCCTCCTCCTGCTCTGACGGGCAACTCTCGGGGGGAGATCAGCTTAGCGGGGGGCAACATCCAGCATGAATCGGCAATAAATCGCCGATAGGTCGGCGGTAGGCCCCCGATAGCAGATCCTCACGGTCCTGGTCGCGGTGGGCTATCGGCCCCCTATCGGCGACGAATGGGCGATTAGGTCTCGATGCATCCCCCAAAAATTTTACCCCTGATCCTCATCCTCCCTCCTCCCTCCTCCCTCCTCACCCTCCTCCTCCTCCTCCTCCCTCCTCCTCGTCCTCAGCGATATCAAACTCTTCGTCCGAAAGACTCCGAGCGAGACCCAACCTGCTTTCGAGATGAAAGGGCATTGGGCGATCTGGAACCCATGTAGCGAGCACAGCCTGCCACATGATGGGGCAGCTCATATAGTGGGCCTGGGAGTACCGCTCCTACCCCTGTGCATCCAAAAACACACTGGAGGTCAGAGTGCTGCGCATCCTCCTCTAAGTCGCCCACCCACAACCCTAAGTCTTAAGCACCGACATGTGCCAGGATGGGGGAGCACTCAGGAGGCGCGTTCTAAGGCGTGGACATGGGATCCGATGGGGGTCTATCAGCCGAGCCGCAAGCCCCTTCTTAAGGAGAGCCTGAGCCGATGGGGACTATCTGCCCAAGACGCCAGCCCCTTCTTAAACGTGACCTCCAGAGCGTCCCGCCTCGTCCTCCTTCCTCCTCCTCCTCCTCCTCCTCATCCTCCTCTTCCTCGTTCGCTTGGAGGAAGGCGAAGCGGCAGGGCAGGAGGGAAGAAGCAGGGCTGCAAGCGCGCGGGCGCACACGCGCCCCGCGCGCACCGCGCCCGTCGGCCCGACCACCCCCCCCCCCCGGGCCGGGCTGCACCCGGCCCGCCCGCCTCGAGCCAGGAGGCCGCGGGTCGTCGGCCGCTGGCTGCCTCTCGCCGCCACCGCCGTCGGTCGTCGGTCGTCGGCCGTCGGTCGTCGTGTTGGCCGTCGGCCGTCGGCGGTCGGTCGGTCGTCGACCGTCGGTCGTGGGTCGGCGGGCGTCGGCCCTCGGCCGTCGGTCGGTCGTCGAACGTCGGTCGGCGGGCGTCGTCGGTCGTCGTCGGTCGGCCGACCACTTGGTCGCGCAGTCGGTGGTCACCGTAGGTCGTCGTGGTCGGTTGGTCGATCGCTTGAACGCCCCGTCGGTCCGTCGCTGGGGTCGTCATTGGTGGTGCCATGTCGTCGTCGTTGGTCAACAACGACGTCGTCGCCGTCGTGGTCAACACCACCGCCATCATCAGCGTCAACATCACCACCACCACAAGTATAATCATCGTCACAACCATCAACAACATCAGTGCCATCACCGTCATCATCTGCATCATCTGCATCATCATCACCACCAGCACCACCATCATCATCATCATCATCATCATCATCATCATCATCATCAGAATCATCATCCTCATCATCATCATCATCATCATCATCATCATCATCTTCTTCTTCTTCATCATCATCATCATCAGTACCATCATCATCAGTGCCATCATCATCAGCATCATCATGATCGTCGTCATCATCACCATCATCATCAGCATCAGTATGATCATCGTCATCATCATCATCACCATGTTCATCATCATTATAACCATCATCCTCATCACCAAAATCAGCAGCAGCATCGTCAGCATCATCCTCCTCATCATAACCAGCATCAACATCGTCATCATCATCATCATCAGCAGCAGCATCATCATCATCATCGTCATCGTCATTATCAGCATCATCCTCATCATCATCGTCGTCATCATCATTGGCATAATCAGAATCATCGTCAACAGCAGCATCATCACCGTCAGCATCATAATCCGCAGCATCAGCATCAGCATCAGCATCATCATCATCATCATAATCAGCATCATCATATTTAGCACAACCATCATCGTCGTTACCATCATTACCATCATCATCAGCATCAGCATGATCATCGCCATCATCATCAGCATCATCATCGTCAGCATCATCATTTTAATCATTGTCATCAACATCATCAGCATCATCACCATCATCATAACCATCCTCACCATCATCATAAGCATCGCCATCATCATCAGCAGCATCATGATCAGCAGCATCATGATCATCATAATAATCATCATCAGCAGCCTCATCATCATCAGCAGCGACATCATCGATATCATTATCATCATCATCACCCTCACCACCAAAGTCAACGGCAGCATCGTCAGCATCATCATCATAACCAAAATCATCGTCAGCAGTTTCATCATCATCATCGTCATCATCATCGTCATCGTCATCGTCATTAACATCATCCTTAACCTCATCATCATCATCATCATCATCATCAGAATCATCACCGTCAGCATCATCATCAGCAGCATCAGCATCAGCAACAGCATCATCATCATCATCAGCATCGTCATCAGCATCGTCATCGTTAGCACAACAATCATCGTCGTTAACACCATCGACAGCATCGTCATCATCATCATCATCATCATCATCATCATCGTCGTCGTCATCATCATCACCATCATCGTCGTCATCATCACAAGCAGCATCATCATCATCATCATCATCACCCTCCTCACCATCATCCTCCTCCCTCCCTCCCTTCCACCCTCACCTCCCTTCAGCATTCCCCTCCCTGCGGCTGCTCCTCACCAGAAATGGAGGCGGAGGAGGAGCCGGCGACGACAAGAGCGCGCCGAGCTGGTGAGGTCAGGAGCGCAAGGGCGGCGAGGTGCGCGGGGCCGCAACCTGGGCAACGAGGGAGGCACGCCCGGGTCGGGTCGGACGAAGGGGGGGTAGTATCGGGGAGACCTAAGACTCGGGTTCGGGGGACTCGGGTTGGCTTGACGGGGCCGTGCGAAACTTGAAGCGGCCTCCCGCTGCAGACATCCCACGAAAACTAAACCGTCTGAATATTCGAGATGGGCCCGTCAAAGGGCATTGGCAAACCCGAGAGCCAGCGAAATTGAGTCTTACGTTCCCCCGATAGTACAAGGGAGGGGCCAGCGGGACAGTTCACTCGACGGCGGGCTCAGAGGGGAAGACGGAGGGGGCGGGCCTCCTCGGGAGGCTCAGAAGGTCCCCGGCCTTCTGAGACGCTTTTTGAGCCTTCTCCGAAGCCCCGCCTGCTGACAAGACCTGCCCCCTCTCGCTTCCCCCCTTGGCGCGCCGCCGACTCACGTAGTTGGTTTCCCTTGCGCCTCCCGGCGCCGGAGGCGCCAGTGTATCGAGGAAAGCGCCCGGCGGCGATGCTGAAGCCAGCAGCATGCAGCAAATGTCGTAACCTCACCTCTCCCCATCTCCCCGTTTCGTCCAGCTCGACATGCCCTGCAAAGGGGGAAGGCGGGAGAGGCAGACAGGAGAAGAGCTGGGAGGAACGAGGAAGGAAGGGGATCAAGGTTTTGGCAGGCGCTTCTGACCCCCTCTAGCTACTTTTGAAGGCGTCCAGAGGCCTCTGGGGACCTTTGAGAGGCATTCAAAGACACGTAGAATCCTCCAGAGACCTCCGGGGAGGGGGAAGAGGAGAGGGAGGAGGAGGAGGAAATAGGAGGAGGAGGAGGAGAAGGAAGGAGGGGGAGGGAGGAGGACGCGGAGGAGGAGGAGAAAGACGAGGAGGAGGACAACGACGACGAGGAGGGAGGAAGAGGAGGAGGAAGCAGGGCGGCAGCAGCAGCAGCAGCAGCAGCAGCTGGCTTGGCGACGTGGCCGTTTCCAGCACCGCTGGGCAGCACTTGGGCCTTCCGCGCCGCGCGGTGTGAGGGGGCCGAGGGGGTCACGACGGCCGAGTGATAATAGAGAAGTGGCCCCTGGCCCTGACTGAAGGGGAGGGTTACGAGGGGACCGGCTCAGGGATGGAAATATCTAGCTTGAATCGGCGACACCTCGCTGATTGATCTACGATAGGCCACCGATGGAGAATCCGCACGTTCCTGGGCGACGTGGGTTATCAGGCCCCTATCGGCGATTGGAGGTCGATGTATCCCTCCCTGACCCTATCCCTTGCTGACAATGCCCCTGACTGACCCAGACTGCCAGCGTCGCAAGAGGGGACGGAGACGCTACGGACGTTTCGTTGCAAACTGGACGGAAGCCGTCTCGGGGCCCCAGGACGCGCAACGAAACATAACACGCGGCGACAGACCAGATCTGGCGGTGGGGCGCAGAACTCGGGGACCCACGCATTGAAACAAAAAAGTTGCACCAGGAGCCTGAGAAAGTGCGCACTGGGCCTTACCGGCAGAGACCAAATGACCCCCGGTAAGGCCCAGAGGGAGCCCTCCAGGCGCCGAAACGGCTTTGGAACTGGGGGAACCTTGGGCAAGGACACTTCTCCTGGCACCCGAGACGGGGAGCACCGTGGCTTTGCGGCCACCCAGTGGGCCAGGAGGACCTAGGGACGACCAAACGGACCCTCCCATGCCAAGAGAAGCAAGACCCGTCACAGAACATCTGTTGATCTGGGCGTGAATTCTCCTTGGGGGGGCGTCTTGGCCGCTCCCGAGCCATCCCCTTGCCCCTCGTGGCGGCTGGAAGGCCACGGGGGAAGCTGGAAAAAGAGGTGGCCCTCTTCGAAAATTGGACGCGGGGCAGGATCGCCACTGGCGATACGCAGCCCCAGCAAAGTGCGGCCACTCAGCTTCTCGCCTGACTCTTCCTCCTCCTCCTCCTCCTCCTCCTCCTCCTCCTCCTCCTCCTCGTCCTCCTCCTCCTCAGCCTCCTTTCCCTTATGATCATTATCCTCCTCTTCCTTCACAGAATAAAACTAATCATCATCATCATCATCATCATCATCATCATCATCATCATCATCATCATCATCATCATCATCATCATCATCATCATCATCATCATCATCAGCATCATCATCATCATCATCATCATCATCATCGTCATCATCATCAGCATCGTCATCAGCATCGTCATCAGCATCATCATCATCATCATCATCATCATCATCATCATCATCATCATCTGCATCATCATCAACAAAATCATCATCATCATCATCATCATCATCAAGATCATCATCATCATCGTCGTCGTCGACATCATCATCATCACCATCATCGTCATCGTCATGCTCATCATCATCATCATCATCAGCAGCAGCAGCACAACCACCCCCACTATCATCATCAGCAGCACCATCATCATCATAAAAAAACAGCATCAGCATCAGCATCATCGTCATCAGTATCATCAACATCATCATCATCGTCATCATCATGATCAGCATCATCATCATCATCATCATCATCATCATCATCATCATCATCGTCGTCATCGTCATCATCACCGTCATCAACAGCAGCAGCAGCTGTAGCTGCAGCCGCAGCATCAGCATTAGCATCATCAAACGCATCTTCATCCACAACTGCGTCATCATCCTCATCATTATCGTCATCCCCATCACTATCCTCCTCATCCTCCTCATCATCGTCACCGTCATCGTCATCGCCATCGTCGCCAGAGCATCATCATCATCATCATCAGCAGCAGCAGCAGCAGCATCAGCATCATCATCAGCAGCCGCATCATTAGCAGCAGCACCATCGACAGCAGCACCATCGGCATTTCGTCAGCATCATCGTCGGCAGCAGCATGATCAGCAGCAGCATCATCAGCAGCAACAGCATTAGCATCGGCATCATCATCAGCAGCAGCGTCGTCATCGACGGCATCGTCATCGTCGTCATCGTCATCGCAATCATCATCAACCTCACCATCATCACCATCAGCATCATTATCACCACTAGGCCCATCATCATCATCACCATCACCATCATCATCATCATCAACACCATCATCATCAGCAGAAGCATCAGCATCATCATCATCAGCAGCATCAGCATCAGCCTTATCATCATCAGCATCATCTTCATCGGTATCATCATCATCATCATCATAATCATCATCATTGCCATCAGTATCATCATTGTCGTCGTCGTCACCATCGGCACCGTCATCATCAGGATCCTCGTCCTCGAAATCATCAGCAGCAGCAGCGTTATCAACAACAACAGCATTATCATCGTCATCAGCAGCAGCAGCAGAATTTTTACTTCAGAATCAGCAGCAGCATCATCATCAGCATCATCAGCAGCAACATCATCACCATCATCCTCATCATCATTAGCATCATCACCAGCATCATCATGACCGTCATCATCATCATCGTCAGCATCATCATCATCGTCGGCGTCATCATCGCCATCAGCATCGTCGTCAACACCAGCATCATAATCATCATCCTCCTCATCATAAACAGCATCATTATCATCATTAGAATCATCATCATCATCAGCAGTAGCATCATTATCATCCCCCAGCATCCTCATCCTCATCCACGTCCTCCTTCTTCTTCATCCTCATCCTTCGTTCCCACCCTCTTCCTCCTGTGCCTCTTCTTGCTTCTCCTTCTCCCCCTCCACGGCTCCCAGGCGACCTCGCGGGCCCATCCTGGGAGCTTTGAGGATGAAGAGGGTCCAACAAGTTTTCAGGCCTCCTCCAGACGCGTCCTGACTACACTCCTCCATATAACCATCCCACCCCCGAGACAGTGGAAAAGGGTTCTGGAAGGTCCTCAGGCTTTAGAAAGTTCTGGGGTCTTCGGGGGTTCTGGACAGCCAGTGGGCGTCAGGGGAAAGACGACGAGAAGGAGGAGAGTTTTCAAGGAATTCCTGGACCTGAGCCTGAACCTCCTCCGCCTCCTCCTCCTCCTCCTCCTCCTCCTCCTCCTCCTCCTCCTCCTCCTCCTCCTCCTCCTCCTTACGTGAAGATCCCCAGCGCATGTCACACAAGTCGGCGGTCTCAGCCTCACTTCGCCATGTATGTGTGGCACTGCTCCCAAACCTCCTGCGGAAAGCTGCAATCGGGAGCCTTCCAGCAAGCAGGCTCAAGCAAACTGCCTCCGTCGTCGCGCAGCCGTGAAGTAGAGAAGAGAAAACGCGGACACTGTTAATCCTGTGTTTTTCCTGAAGTGCGACAGCGGGCGGCGGCAGGCATAATCGGACCAGCGTCATGACGACGGGCCTTAGCCCGCGCCCCCGTGGCCCAGAAGACGCCACCTAGGCCCCCAGAGAGAGGGACGCGCGAACCCATGCGCCGGGCACTGCACGGCCCGATTGTGCTGCGGCACCTGCAGGAGGATGGGCGCCATGGCATTTGCGCACCCCTGGTGGCACGTGGAGATTGAAGGGGAAGGTTAGGGGGGGGGGTGGACTGGCTTGGAGGAGAGAGAGAAAGAGAGAGAGAGAGAGAGAAAAAAAAAAAAAAAAAAAAAAAAAAAAAACATCGAGCTGGAATCGGCGATACATCGTCCGTACGCTACTGGGTGGGGTGGGCTATCGGGTCCCTATCGGCGATCAATGGGCGACTGGCGGTCTATATGTCCCCTCGAGCCTATGGCCCTTCACGTTGCCCCCGATGGTGGCACGTGGAGATGCACGTGGCTTCTGGGAAGCGTGCGACTGCCTTGGAAGGTATCGCATCAGATGCACGCTCTGTCCTCTGGGGCCTGGCCCTCCACGACTGCAACCGTGGCACGCGAGTCGCGCGGCTCATGCCGTGCTGGAAAAAAAGAGCCAGTCAGCAGCAGCCGTGCTGAAAGTTGGTGCCCGACGCATACTTGCCGAGCCCGTCGGCAGTGGAACGGGCGCGCCGGGTGTGAATGCGTGTGCGTGTCTCCCACGCAGCGTGGTTCCCTGTGGGTGGACCCTGCGCGTCCCCGCTGGGGTGCATGAGTACCCGGCAGCGGCCGATACTCTGCTCCCCTCGGCTGTCCTCGACCGGTCAGAAGGGGGGTGACCTTCAAAATCACCCCTGCTCCCAAAAAAACAGGCGCCCCAAAGAAAGAGTCGATGTATAAACCAATCCTCCTAGAATGCGCAGAAAGGCGCTTCCCTAGGGCAGTCGGTCAACAAAGGTGTTTTCGTGAATTGCCTAGATCAGGCCGTCCCGAAAACCCTCTGGCGTGGGGTGGACCTATCACAAATGGGACGGCCAGTCGACTCGGGCGCATCCCCTGAGCGCGCGGCGGTTCGCGACGGGGTGGGTGACCAAACAAAATATCCGTTACCAGCGATTCCCGCCGCATTTTCTTGCAAAGATGCAGGGGTCCAACAAAAAGGCGGGCGGGGGCAGGCCCCAACGATTCCCTGGCATCGCTTCCACGGCAGGGGCGGTGTGGATCGAAAAAGTGCTATCCCCCATTCATCCCGAAAACAGCTGCGAGGGCCCGCCGCAGACGACGACGACGACGACGACGACGACGACGACGACGGCGACGACGACGACGACGACGACGGCGACGGCGACGACGACGACGACGACGACGACTGATGACGGACGGCGACGACGATCGATGACGGACGGCGACGACTACGATGACGGCGGCGAAGGACGACGACGAACAATGACGGATGACCGCTCTACCTGACTCCGCCGCATCGCTGCGCGCCTGGCCGCGAAGCCCAAAGAAAACAAATGTGTTAGCGCGTGCGTTTGCAAAAGACTCGCTCTTAGCTCTGGCCGCCGTTATCCTTGTTCTTCTGTCCTCTTCGCTCGCTCGCTTCTGCCCAGCCTGCGCGACACGCTGCTCTTTCCCACTTCGCTTCACCGACTGGGAATGGTGTCCTGCGGAGCACGCTACTGCCGAGCAAACAAGTGTGCAAAACGTTCTTGATCTGCCGTGGCGTCCGCGCTTGCACCTGCTGGAACCACAGTGTTGCAGAGCACACGGCCGCCAAAAAAAAAGTGTGTGTGTGTGTGTGTGCGTGCGTGTGTGCCTGTGTGTGCAATGACTTGCCCTTCGTTTTTGTTCACCTTACTTGCGGCTGTGGCACACTGCCCGTGATGTGTGCCTTGGCTCCGCGGTCTGGCGTGTCCTGCTTATGTTGCCTCCCTTCTCCTCTCGTTCTCACGTCCTGTACTGCACGCGCTTGCTTTTTGCTTCAGAACGGTCGACGACGTTCGCCTTCTGATGGGATCTTAACTTTAAAGGCGTGTCCACATAAGCTGGATAATGTTCTGTGCGGGCGTCCCCACATTGCTGTCAACCGCTGATTGATGTCATCGACGCGTCGGCGAAGAGATGTGTGGACAGAGACGTGAACGCCTACTGGCCGTGGACTCATAATCATCATCACTGCATCTGGCATCTGCTCCTGGCCGCGGATGGAAGCGGCTCCGAGCAGCCAGCTTCCGACCTCCGCGGCCCACAACTTCCTGGAATGAGGTGCACTGTACTCACATGTGCGGGAAGATGAAGATGAAGATGAAGATGAAGATGAAGAGCGAGAGCATGGACACAGCTGAGCTTGCGCATGAACACAGCTGAGAAGCGAGCTGACACTGGAACGTTCGGGAAGATGAAGAGCGAGAGCATGGACACAGCTGAGATGAACCGGAAGGAACGAAAAGTGCATGCACCGTTTTTGCCAGCGCCGCCGCTTTCGGAATCATCTCGTTGCCAGCGCCAGGAAGCCTCGCACGACGTGTTTAAGCATTCGGCCAAGTTCCAACGTTCCCACAGGGAAGTGAATGGGGGGGACAAGGACGGGTGAAAAGGGTAGGGAAAACAAGGGATTGGGGAGAAACTGGCGAGAGAGCAACAGGCTTCCCCGACGGCCCCAGAAGGTCCCCCCAAAGAGACAACCATCACTGATTATCCAGATCTGTTTGTACGATTTCTGGGCTCTCGTCGACTCGGTCTTCAGAGACTCCGCGACGGCCCAGGAGGCCTCCAAGCTCGCCCAAGTATGGGCCACAAGGCGTCCTGAAGGGGGGCTCAGGAGTGGCCCAAGATGGCTCAAGATGGGCCAGAAAAAACGAAAGGGCGTCGGTGGAAGACATGAGGACAATAATGTGTTGAGCGTCAACGGTAGCTCCATGCTTCCCATCGCAACGATCCGTTCTCGATTCATCGTTCCGAAGAGGGCTCAACCACGAAACCGCTGGAGCACACTGGGGCAAGAAATCCTCGCTTTCCTCAGGTCGCCCGCGGCGCCTGCGGCGCACACGTGCACAAGCTTCCATCGCCGTCACCCAAGCCTTCGAAGCCATGCTCTTTCCACACATGGGGATCCAGGACCCTCGACCCCAGCGCTCACAAGGAAGCGCCGT